ATCTGCTCCTATTTGGTCCCAGGCCTGGTCTCCAGCTTGCCACCTGGAGGCAGGAGCTGACTTTTCTTGCTATTTATCATGACTCCAGAACTAGCCCTTTCCTTCCTCCAGTGTTGACGATTAGTGCCCTGGGAGACACAGGCAAACCAGTCCCAGAAGAACAGGCTGCCTCTGGGCCTGCAGAAATAAATAAGCCAAGAACAGAAGATCCCAGGAGTTGCTTTCTGGGAAATCATAAGTTAAATTCTGAGAAAACATTGAATAAGATGACACATGTGTTAGGTGACTCAAGGACATACTTCTGTCATATCATCACATTCTCAATCTCAATATTTGACATTGGACACAGTCTCAGTCTCAGTATTTATTGCCGTAGTTATAACCCGGGTTTTTATGTTCCTCCTAAGTTTTTCCTGTTGTTTGGGATCTGAGAAAGCAGGACCTCATTCTCTGTGTCACCCTAGCTGAGAGTCCAGGTCATGTTGTACCCTGAATTAACTTTTCCTGAGTTACCCACAGAACTTAAACTCAAAGCACCTGATTTCACTTCCTTTTTTCCTCTTTAATTTTACTTGTTCATCGTGAATGTATAAATGATCTCTAAACCTATTTACTGTCCTTAAAAATCAGAATACTTGTACTTGCTTTAAAGGACAAAACGTTTAATGAGAAAACTTAATTAGACAAATCTGAGTGTACTTTTTCATCATAAGCAGAATCCCATTGCCAAATAAGTCATTTCCTGTTTCCTTTAGTATTAACCCTTGGCCTTCTTTAATGCTCCTCTTCCTCTTGCTCTTGTCCCTGAAAACCACCTTTAATATTTTGTTTTGGACCAGGCACTGGCTGCTAGTGGTGCCCTCAGCCCACAGACTGAGATCTATTCCCAACTGCATTCTCCGTAGATGGTGAGGTTGCCCAGCCTCCCTTGAGGTCAAGTTCCCATATCTCAGGTCAGGCAGGTCTTTGCAGCCAGAGTAGCCAATTCTTTCATTCTCAGTTGCTCCTGTGTTCTGAATTATCACTAAATAATTGAAAGCCTAGCTTTGTGAGACACTCATGGCAGTGTCCTTGATCATGTTATCTTCCAAAGACTCACGAATAGGACCCCTAACCTAGTCTGGTTGCCAGGGGAAATGCCTGAATTTCAGCAACCTAGATTCATTTAGGTGATGGAAGTTTCATACTTCTCATTGACTTTATAAACATTGTGTCATTTATGACCCCTTATTGCCTAAATGTTAAGGTGATAACTAAACAACGACATTGGGATGAGGAAGTCTTTTGGCAAAATTAAATACGTGCTCAACACTCAGGTTTTCCAACACATTTAGAGGTAAGGTTTCTTGTTTCACCTCCATAGATTGCTACCTCAACTTGCACCCTGAGAAGCATTACACTCTATTTTTCCTGAAATCAAACAAAGATAGTGTGGTCTCTGTTTAATAACATCTTATATGTGTGCAACATTTATTCCTTAGCTACAGATTAGAGTCCTGTCCCGCCTATATTTTTCTACTTTATGTAAACATAATAATCTGTTAAACAATAACTAGAATATATGTTTTATAAATGGGAATCAAAAGAGAATAAGTATGTCATGGATGAAAGACTAGGCTAAGAGCTGAAGCAAACATTTCATAATAACAAGTTATTTGAACTTATTTTATTTCTCTGGCTGCTTTCCAATCATCATATTTCAGGGGACTGGCTGGAAGGAGCCATTGTTATTTCTATATTCTTAACAATGCTTATTTAAGGGACAGTTCTTAAAAATACTTGCCAATGCAATTAAATTGTTATGTGCTTTATGGAAATCCTGATTCTGTGGACAAAGAACCTGGGTCTTAGGATTAGTAAATTTAAAACCAATCTAACTCATTCTTACAATTGCAATAAAAAATTACAATTAAACTATTAATTTATTGTTATTGCATTAATTACACATTGAAATTTTAAAAATCATAGCAATTCACATTATTGGATTATGTTATTCTGGTCTCAAGAGTTTCTGTTCTGGTAAGCTGTGACCCCCTGAATTTGTGTGTTTAGCTCTCTAATCTTGGGGGCAGTGTTTGGTCCTCTCTCATGGATACTGGAAGAGGTGTTTATTTTTCCATCCATTCAGTTATTTACTTGTTAGTATGAAGTGACAAGTTTCAAGCTCCTTACATGTGAAATCAAAAATCAGAAATCCTCTCTTTTCTTTTGTAAATACTCTCCTCTCATGGGTTTGATGACATCATATACTTATGCTATTCTTTTTATCTCATTCACCTCTCCTCTAGTCTCCTTTGCTAAATGGACCTTTTCATGTTGACTCACAAATCTCTCATAGTCTTTCCTCTATTTTTCTCCTCTTCTTCATTTGCTTTTCATTATTAGGATGTAAATACTCTTAGATTTATCCCATTAAAAAATTTTGCCATCATTATTATTCACCTATCATCCTGTACATTTTATTCTTTTTAAAAATATTTTTATTGGTTTTAGAGAAATAAGAAGGAAGACAGAGAGAGAAACATTAATGCTAGAGGAAAACATCAATCGGATGCCTCTTGCACAACCCCCACTGGGGATCGAGCCCTCATGCAGGCATGTGCCCTGACAGGGAATTGAACATGCAACCTTTTGGTGCATGGCATGGTGCTCAATCAAATAAGCCACATCAGTCAGAGAGCTTTTTTATTTTAATCTAATTTTTTTAGATGAATGTTTTATATTTATTATTATTATTATTCTCACTTGAGGGTATTTTTATTAATTTTAGAGAGAGAGCGATGTGAGGAAGAAACATCAATTGGTCACCTCCTGTATGCCCCTGACTGACCTATTGCTCTATGCAATTATGCTCCAAACAGCCAGGGTTGTAATTATTAATTTTAAAGACACATTAAAATTACTGAAGATAGGAAAGAATAAGTGTGGATAACAGAAATCAAATACATTTGAAAAATTGACAGTTAAATAAAAGTAAAGAAAAATATGGCTGGGTCTCAGGACTTACTTCTGTCCCAGACTATGATATGGACATGGGCGGGGGGTTGTGGGGGTTATAAAAAAAAGCAATATTGGACATTTCTCTTGGATCTACAACAAATTATCTTTGATAGATGGATATAATAAAAATATTATATTGTAAGGAATAGTGCTAAACTCATTAGTTAATCCAAAAAATATAAAGTAAGAATTCAACTTTCCAAATTATTACAATAATTTATCCCTAGTAACTTATTATAGAACTTCCGGTTAACCATAAAATTGGCTTGTCTTGCATCCTGCTTCAGGTTTTCCTAAATTCTTTTAAACAAGCAGCATCTGGTCTCAGCTAGCCCCATACCTTCTCGTTAAGTAATACATAGAAACAAACACAGGGAGGCAGCCAAAATGAGGAGAAAAAGAAATGGGTCCCAAATAAAAGAACAGAAAAAATCTCCAAGAAAAGAACTAAGCAAAATGGAGATAAGCAACCTAACAGATGCTGAGTTCAAAATACTGCTTATAAGGATGCTCAATGAACTTAGTGAGAACCTTAGCGAATTTAGTGAGGGCCTCAAGAACATAAAAAAGGACCAGTCAGAAATGAAGGATGCACAGTCAGAAATGAAGGAGGCACTATCTGAAATAAAGAATAATTTACACAGATTCAATAGTAGAGTAGGTAAAGCCAAGAAGCAAACCATTGATTTGGAATATAAGGAAGGAAAAAATACCCAATCAGAACAGCAAAAAGAAAAAAGAATCCCAAAAAATGAGGATAGTGTAAGGAGCCTCTGGGACAACTTCAAGCATGCCAACATTCACATCTTGGGGGTGCCAGAAGGAGAAGAGAGAGAACAAGAAATTGAAAACCTAGTTGAAACAATAATGGCAGAAAACTTACCTAACTTGGTGAAGGAAACAGACATACAAATCCATGAAGCACAGAGAGTACCAAACAAGATTAACCCCAAGAGGCCCACACCAAGACACATCATCATCAAAATGCAAAAGGTTCAAGACAAAGAGAGAATATTAAAAGCAGCAAGAGAAAAGCAGTTAGTTACCTACAAGGGAGTTCCCAAAAGACTGTCAGCTGATTTCTCAAAAGAAACTTTGCAGGCCAGAAGGGAGTGGCAAGAAATATTCAGAGTGATGAAAAGCAAGCTCCTACAACCAAGATTACTCTATCCTGCAAAGCTGTCATTTAGAATCGATGGCCATAGAAAGAGTTTCCCAGACAAGAAAAAGTTAAAGGAGTTCATCACCACCAAACCATTATTATATGAAATGATGAAGGGTCTTTTTGAAGAAAAAGATAAAATATATGAACAAACAAAATGGCAATGAATACATATCTATCGACAATTGAATCTACAAATAAAATGAACAGGCAGAACAGAAACATTCTCATAAATAAAAAGAACATTTTTTTGGTTGCCAGAAGGGAGAGGGGTCAGGGGAATGGATGAATAATGTGAAGGGATTAAGAAGTACAAATCAGTTGCTAGACTCATAAACCACAAAGGGAAGGGGTTGGGGGGTGGGGAGAAATAAACCAAAGAACTTATATGCATAACAAATGGACACAGACAACAGTGTGGGAAAAGGAGAGGGGGGACAGGAGTGGGAAATAGGGGGGTCAATGGGGGAAAATGAGGAACATCTGTAATACACTCAACCATTAAGATTTTAAAAAATGCAAAAAAAATTATTATAGAATTAGAGTTCTAACAGATCAGTAGAGGAGAAAATACAAAAATCATGTTGAACATAACATTTATGTAAAAAGTAACTATTCTTTTCACTGTAAGAAAGTAGTGATTATATATTTAGAAGTATACACATAAGTAGGAATAAGCATCATTTTTATTTGTTTTTTACATTAGAATCATTCATAATTTACAGTCAAGTGTTCAAACAAAAAATAAGTAAACAGAAATTGCTTTGTTGTAAGAGGACTCTAAAAAGAAGCTTTAAAACATTCCCTATTTCGAACAACATGTTTCATCCTCAATGTTTCACTGTGTCTTCCCCAGTGAAACTATCTTCATAATGGCCCTGCGGATTTGCTGGGTCTTGATGCTATAGATAACTGGGTTTATCAGTGGTGGGAAGAGCACAGAGACAGTGCCCAGGAGGATGTGCACCAGGGGTGAGGTGTGGTGCCCAAATCTGTGCACAATGGACAGACCTAGCACAGGCACGTAGAAGCAGAGCACAGCCATGATGTGGGAGACACAAGTGTTGAGGGCCTTAAGCCTCTCCCCTGCAGAGGCGATCACCAGCACAGTGTAGAGGATGACAGTGTAGGAGAGCAGGATGAAAAGGACATCAGAGCCCATGGCCAGCATGATGATGCACAGCCCATAGAGTCTGTTGAAACGTGTGTCAGAGCAGGCCAGACGAATCATATCCTGGTGAAGACAGTAGGCATGGGACAGTGCTCCAGGGCGACAGTAGTCAAAATTCAGTAGGTGCAGTGAAGGTGCAGCAGTGATGGCGGCACTCCGCATGCCCAGCTTAGCCCTGCCAATGCCACACGAGGACCTGAAAGCACAGATGCATAGCGCAGTGGGAAGCGGATGGCCACGAGGCGGTCCAGAGCCATAGCAAAGAGCACAGCTGATTCCATGAAGGAAAAGGAGTGTAGGAAGTGCTGCTGCAGGACACAGGGCACCAGGCCCACTGTCCGGGCATCAAACCACAGCACACCCAGCACTGAGGGCATTGTGGACATGCATAGGCCCAGGTCTGTCACAGCCAGGATGGCCAGAAAGTAGTACATGGGCTGGTGGAGAGAAGGGTCGGTTCGTACCAGATGCAAGATGGTGGCATTGCCCAAGAGGGCCACGAGGTATACTACAAAAATAGGCAGTGAGATCCAATGGTGGGCCCATTCTAGGCCTGGGAAGCCTGTCAGCAGGAATGTAGAGAAGCTCAAGTTGGCACTTGATATGGTGGAGATCCTCATTCTCAAGAGGCCTATTCACTCTGACAAAGGTGGCAGTATGAATGAAGATTACCAGGCCAGTCAGCATGAGCTATCCTGCCCTCATGAGACACCAATCCCCTGCTGGCTGGTCCGGTCTCTGGAACACCATGACCTCTCAAAGAGCAACTGCCTTCACAAGCAGCTTGTCCTTTGCCTGCTTTTCCCCTTTTTCTCTCATTCCCATCTAATCATTTTCATACCTCAGTGACATTAAGCCTCAACAAAGGGTTTCCCTACTCTTGTTCTTGACCAGCTAATGAAAGACTTCCCTTAGAGAAATCTTTATAACTCAACTGGAATAGAATGTGCAGATTCTCAAACTTGGGTCACTCCTGTCTCTTCTGTATGAACTCTTCAAACATTTTTTGTAGGAAATGTTATCTCTAACTTTTCTAAGCAAATTGAGGACACCTATACAGAGTTGCCTCGTCCAGTCTACTTTTTCTCCTTGTTGTCATTATGTGATCCTCTTCACACGCTCATGATCCTCTCCCCACTCGACCCTTCTCACGGGACCCTTGACTCACTGTCCGGTACCTTACACCTCAGGCATCTTCTCAGGAAATCTCATTCTTTCTTTCACAAATTCACACTAATTTAGCCTACGTAGTCTACACATTTATTTAAAATTTTTGTTGAATTTATTGGGGTGACATTGGTTAATAAAATTATCTAGGCTTCAAGAATATAATTCTATAATCTGTATATTGTATCCTGTGGTCACCACCCAAAGTCAAGTCTGCTTCTGTCACTATTTATCTCTCCTTCATCCTCTTCTATCTCCTCCCACCTTACTTTCGCTCTGGTAATCACCATAACGTTGTCTGTGTCTATGAGTTTTGTTTCTTTTGTTGTTGTTGTTGTTTTGGGGGAGAGATTAGTCTACATATTTAAAGCTGCCACCTGTACTCTAATTCCTGAGATTTATTTCAAGTTTAATTTAGACATACCTACTTCTTTGTTTCTTTTTTCTTTCTTTCTTTGTATCATATTTTCAAAGACATCTCTCCCCAGAAATCAAGCTGGAGACTTGACACAGCTTACACACCCCCAATACACCAGATAAACTTGTTAGAGAAATGTTTCCTAGACAGATATTGTGAAAAGCACATATCAGTAAGTGTGCCATGAAACAGAGCAGCAGTGACAAAGCCTGTCCTGCTCAAATTTCTTTATTAAATACTAAAATAAGGGGTACCTGGAGAGATGCTCAGAAGACACTCTGCTATTCCGTACCTCAGTGTCTGATAGCGTATTTGCTTTTGTATTCTTATCAGTAAAATAATAATAATGATATTTTCTAATTAAAGAATGAATATGTTTTAATTGGCACACCATGTACATGAAACTTAGCACAAAATCTGGGCTATCATAAACAATAAATATATTTGTGATTACCTCTAACCCAAAACAGATTTTCTTATAATTTTCCCTAGTGTTCCTACTCTTTATGCTCTCCTATTATAAAGAAATAAACTCCATCTCCTCTTAATTATGAGAGTGCTTTAGATCTTGGCACAAGGTATGTACCATTGAAAGACTGGGGATCTACTGAGAGATGAAAGGACTGAAGAAAAAAATTAGGGAACAGTGAAAAAAGGGGAACTGAAAAATAGATCACAGCATATATGGAGGTACAGAAAGCAAGGTGAGGGACAGACTGAGTGATGAGGCTAAGGAACTAGAGAAGGTATGATGAGGATCAGGTAGCAGAAGGACGTGAGACAGTGAAATGATGACCTTAGGAAAATGCTGAGGGGCAAAGCTGGAGAGGGTCTAAGTTCAAGTAGTATAGAGGCTGCAAGAGCATGAGAAAATGGAAGAAGAATGGGGATGGGGTAAAACTGGTGAAAAAGATGTTGAAGGAGAGAACAAGGCAAGCTAAACATCAACGAGAAAGGGGGTTGTGAAACTGAGAGGAAGAAACTTGGAAGCAGAAGGTGATGGAGAGATGAGGCAGAGAGGGACAGGATGAATAGCCTGGAGAATGGGGAGCTAAGGTCAGAGAGAGGTTTGCTGACAGATGGCAGAAGGACAGAGAAAGAGAACTGAGGATAAGAAAGAGACTAAAGAAGAATGAAGGAGAAAATCAATGAATAAATTGGGAAGAAGCTTAAGGACACAGAGATGATAGAGAGAGGCAGAGGGAGAAGCAAAAAAGAGGGAGGGGCAGAATGGGAGGTCAAATGAAAGAGAGAGAGAAGGGAGTTGAGGAGAAGAGAAAACCCCTTGTTAGACAACAGGAAGGGAAGGCCAGGTGGCAGAAAGGATGGTGAATGGAAGATGTGATCAGACATGGAGGGGAAGATATGGGGAGGCATGAGGAACAGGGGGAGGATGAGGAGCCTGAGGTAAGGACCCTAGAGAAGGAGGCCTGGGAAACTCCCAGAACCCTTTGTTCAGTCTTCTCATCTCAAGGCTTCTGGACAGTGAAGATGCACCTGGTCCTAGACAAAGTTCATTAGGCAGTAGAGTGAGGTGGGTAAGGAGTAGCTCTAGAGTCTGATCTGCATTCAAATCAGAATTCAAATATTTATGAACTCTATGATAAAGCAAATTATTTGCTTAATCTCAGTTTCTTCAACTGGAAAAACTGAGACAATTATTGTATCTACTTTGTAGGTTGTAGAGACATTTATATATAGCTCTAAATGTGGTACAGTTAGAACCATTCACTCAATAGATGCAGATTATTGTTATTTGTGGTTTTCAAGACTACCTTCTTATTGAAAGGTCTCCATAGCAATTATCTACCATATGACAGTTACACCTCTTCTCTTCATCTCTGCAGTGGGCTTTCAGGGAAAGTCAGCGAGTAATATGACAACAATGAAAAGTAAGAAACTCAGGGTTTGGAGCTCTGAGCTCTTATGTGATTTTTGGACAAGCCAGCCCCATGACTTTGGTAAAGTGACTGAATCCCTGTACACCTTAGCTTTATTCAGTAATGCATGATTTCACATGTTCCCTGCTTCCTTTCCAGGGAAACTATTGGGTTTAGTATGCAACTGTGGAAAGAACTGCTCTGAAGTATTGGAAGCTGCATCAGTTAGGGTGGAGCAGTTGAGATTATGATTCTTTGACACAGCCTGTAACACTCCATTCCACCACTCAGCCCAGCAACAACTCCTGGTCTCTCTTTCCAACTAAAAACTTCATGGTGAGATATAATAGAGTAACAGTAGCCACAGACTAGTCATCATCCTGGAAGCTGCCCTATTTCATGACCTTACTAATATACCTGCTAGATGAAAGGTATCAGAGAGGTGATTAACTTGGCTTCCTCTGCCCACAAACCAAAGGACCTTCAATGACTTACTGGTCCCTTGATGTCAGTAGTTTCTTTTCTTCCCCCTGCAGCGTTTCTTGCTTCTCTCCCAGCCTCTTCTGATTGACTCAGGATCTGCTACCTCACTGCCAATTATAAAGCTATCTGTCCTTCTCCCTTGGGTCTTAGGCCCTCAGAGGAAACTCATTCGATGGATGCAGACCTGACAAACAACAAAAAGAGATCAATATCCTCCCCAAACTTAGTTTTGGGGTGCCCTAGTTATCTTCCGTGGAAACTTACTTAGTGACCCATAAGTACCACCATGAGATGTTTCAGCAGATAGATGATGTTTCATTTTCTTTCCCACTAGCTTCTTGGTTACAAGAAAATTTATTGGTTGACCCTCAGTCTTTCTTTCTGTGGTCCCCTCTTTTCTCTAGTTACATCTCCCTTTGAAACTCTACTTCTTATCAGGTATTTAACTCAGTGATTCAGCAAATATATAGAGACTACATGTTTTTGGCCACATACTTGGATATAAAGATTAATAAGACATGTTGCCTTCGAGAAAATTGTATTTATTAAACAGACTCAGCAAGCTGTCTGTTGGGCCTTGGATCAGGCAGCAGGAGTGGTGGCTTATGTACAAGGTTCATCATGACCACCCTGTGAAGAACAGCTCTCAGGAAGCACTTTCCAGTCACTTTCATTTTAACCTGTGGCAGAGAGGGGTGGGAGGGCCTGGAGCACCTGAGCAAAGCAGACTTAGGAAAATGATAGGGGCATCCCTTTGACAGATGCCAACAGAAAGAAGTCCTCTCTAGCTTCCTGGATGTGAAGAAGAAAAGTTTCTTAGAAGACAAAAGAAGTTGTTTTTTGTTTGTTTGTTTGTTTAGCTTTGGATTCCACTTTAAGCATTTCTGTACCCAGGAATTCATTTAATATTTGTTTATTGAGTATCTACTATCTGCCTGGAATTGTATTTATAAAGATTTACTTGTAAACACAACGTGCATACTTCCTCCAAAGAGTTTAATTTAGTATTCTATTCTGGAGGAGAAAAAAAGAAACTAAACTGAAACACAAAATAGCACACTCATATGCACTAACATATCACATACTAACCTGTGTGTGACAGATGTCGCACTGGGACATTCAGGGTTCAGGGTTCCATAGATGCTGATGAAGCATCTGCTCTGGTGTTGGAGAAAGGCCCTGTCAGGGGCAATGACCTTGAAGGTGCAACCTCAATTCTGAGACTTTGACAAGAATTTCATTTAGTCAGTGGGAGGGGCAATTTCCTCTGGCAATTTTAGATGTACAATCTTCTGAGAAATTAGATTATGCCTTAGACAAGTTTGTGGCAGTTGCCTTCATTGAAGCTTTGTTGCGTTTCATGTCATTGTGCAAGATTTCACAACCAAGAGGGCTGAGAAGCAAACACAATTTCAGCTTAATGTCAGACCTGCGGTTGTGGGACTCAGGAGTCAACAGAAAAGGTAAAACCAGAAATGAGAAGAGTTAGAAGTGGGTCAAAGCTCTCTACTAGATAAACAGGGTCAGAAGGGAGCAATCCTCAGAAAGATGGGGAGAAATTATGCCTGTATCAGCCATCAGGGAAGAATGCAGAAGTTCTGATTCTTCCAATGTGACTCATGAGTTCAAAGGATATTGCTTAGCAGGGTGGAAACCTGAGAAAAGAATCTTG